TGTATATTTTGGAGATTAATCCCTTGTCGGTCGCTTTGTTTGCAAATATTTTCTCCCATTCTGTGGACTGTCTTTTTGGTTTTTTTATGGTTTCCTTTGCTGTGCAAAAGCTTTTAAGTTTAATTAGGTCCCATTTGTTTATTTTTGTTTTTATCTTCATTACTCTAGGAGGTGGATCAAAAAAGATATTGCTGGGCTTCCCTGGTGGCGCAGTGGTTGAGAGTCTGCTTGCCGATGAAGGGGACATGGGTTCGTGCCCCGGTGCGGGAAGATCCCACATGCCGCGGAGCGGCTGGGCCCGTGAGCCATGGCCGCTGGGTCTGCGCATCCGGAGCCTGTGCTCCGCAACGGGAGAGGCCGCAACAGTGAGAGGCCCGCGTACCGCAAAAGAAAAAAAAAAAAAAAAAGATATTGCTGTGCTTAATGTCAGAGAGTGTTCTGCCTATACTTTCTTTTTTTTTTTTTTTCTGCCTATATTTTCGTCTAAGAGTTTTATAGGGGGAAAGGGGGGGGCAAGGATAAATTGGGAGACTGGGACTGACATATATACACTACTATATATAAAATAGATAACTAATAAGGACCTACAGTACAGCACAGGGAACTCTACTCAATACTCTGTAATGACCTACATGGGAAAAGAATCTAAAAAGAGTGGATATATGGTACATGTATAACTGAATCACTTTGCTGTACAGCAGAAACTAACACAACATAATAAATCAACTATACTCCAATAAAAATTAATTGAAAAAAAAACTGAATCACTATGCTGTACACCTGAAACATAATATGTGTATGTCCACTTTACTTAAATAAATAAAGCGAGGTTAGCTGAAAAAGGAAAAAAGAGAGAGAAAGAAAAGAAAAAAAGGGAAAAGAGAAAATAGGTTTACCAAGCCCAGGGTCAGCATACTTCCCACCATACTAACTGCCTTGGTCTCAAAAACAACAGACAATCGTCTCTCCACTTAGATTTCTTCCCAGTTGTTATTCATCTCAAAAAAGTAAAAGTGGGCACAGAAATTCTCAACCCCCCTTCTGGTTGGTGTAAGCAACTTTGATTTGCTGAGTGAAAACAATAAACTTGTGTTTCACAAGAAGGTCAGGAAGTCGCTGGAGTCCTTTGTCTCAAACTTAAGACAATGATGTATGTCAATTATTTCTCAATAAAACTGGAAAGAAATAAGTGAAAAATAAAGTCACTGGAGTCTTAATATCATTGCAATTACAGTTAATCAAATTCACAGCCGTCTCTGACAGCTGTGGGTGCTTGAGGGGTGCTTCACAGAAGAAGACATGAAAAATGCATGGTTCTGTATGTGCATTATTCATATATTTATTTTCCAATTTTTCATGAGAGCACCTTTAGCTCCCTTGTCAGTGAGGAAAGCACCAAGTTTTAAAATTCTACAGACAATTCCTTGCTTTAAAAACTTCTAAAACGAATCACATACATAAAGCTGGCATTTTTTTCCATAATAATATCTTTAAAAGTGAAACAAAAGAAGCGCTATATTCCCATAAATGCTACAGATGTCCTACAGGAGAGATATCGGTGTATATGCCACATCATCTATGTGTTGATCAAATAGCATAATATACAGTTCTTCATTTCTTTTGGAAACTGCTTTATTTGTATTCAAATGAACTCTGAAATCTGTTCACGGTGTGCTACTTATCACCCTAGTATTATCAAGATTCATAAATTACACAGAATTTAGATAAAAAATGCACATCTCAGAGTTACTCCAGCTTTTTATATATCCCCGAGAGATTAATACTAAACGTATCAGGCCTGAAAGAGTAAGGATGATGAATAGGCTACAGGAACTCATCAAGGGCTTGGAGGCTTCGTGTAGGTAATTCTTCCATTCTAATGCTTTGAGCTTCGGTTAATGAGCTTTGGTTAATGATTATTTGGTTAATGATAGATGAAAGAGAATGTGGCTTATCACATTTCCCAAAGATTTGCATATTAAATTCCAAAGCCAGCAGGTAGAAGTCTGGGAAATAGGGCAAGTTTGTCCTCAATCTCCCCTTACTTGTTTCACATTCAAGGGGAATCTTTTCAGTCCACTTTGGTTTTACATTTGAGTCTGTCCTCATAAAACTTCCCAATCCTGGCTTTCTGTGCTCCCATCCCCACGCACCCCATTTCCTCCAAATCAAAATTCCTTTTCCTGGTTTCAGATTTCTCAAGATTTTCTGATAAGCTAAATAAAAGTGTGACACAAAGACATCTACCTGTATTCCATGTCCTCTGTCGATTATATTCATAGCTTTTCAATCAATAGTTTAAAAAGTGTCTGCTATGTGTCAGGCCCTGATAAGGAGTAGAAGCAGACTTACGCCCCCACCAAAAAAATCTCTGCCCTTGTGGAGCTTATTTTTGGTGGTGTTGGAGTAAAGAAAATAAGAAACAACCAAGTAGATATGTATGTAGTGATAAGTGCTAAAGAGAAAAACAAAGGGAGATGGAGAGGGAGGGTGTCCAAGGATTCCATTCTAAATAATGGGGGCAGGCAATGGTCTCCCGTAGAGGAGGAATTTGAACAATGACCCGAACAAAGTAAGGACGTGAGCTTTGAGGATATTTGCTGGGAGAGACAAAGCAAAGGGAAGAGCAAGTTCGAAGGTAGGAACGTGTTTGGCATGTTCTGTGGAGAGTGAGGGGCCCAGGGCACCTGTCGCAGAATAAAGTTGGATTGGGGAAGCTGTGCAGCTGAAGTTAAACGGGCGACAGGCAGTCACATGAGTGATGTGTAGGCCATTTTAAGGACTTGGCTGAGGGTTCTGAGCTAGAGTTTCAGGATGTGATATAAGTGTTTGGAATAGACTTCAGAGGGCTGGGAATTAGGCAGCCTGGTGGCTTCGACCACAGCAGTAGCAACAGAGGTTGTAAGAAACATTGAGAGTCTCTCTGCATATTGAACACAGAGCCAACACCATCTGCTGATGGATTGGATTTGGGGAGTTCCTATAAAATACTCCTCACCTGTCCTCTTTCTTCTCTTAGGAATATATAGGTCTGTAAGCAAAATACAGTCTATTTATTCTTCTGCATTCAGAAAGGTTGGTATAGGGGATTGTGAAGAATCAGATATTTCTGGAAATATATGCAACTCTACCAAAACAAGAAAGCACTGATCAACATCAGTGGCCACACACAGTGAGCAAAGAGAACGAGTCTGACGGTATTCTAGTCCATTCAGGCTGTTGTAACAAGTCACCACAGGCTGGGTGGCTGAAAAACAACAGAAATTTATTTCTCAGTGTTCTGGAGTCTGGGAAGACCAAGGTACAGGCACCCGCAGATTCAGTGTCTGGTGAGGACTTGCTTCCTGGTTCATAGATTCTGTGTCCTCAGCTGGCGGAAGGGAGGAGGGAGCTCTCCCGGGTCTCTTTGATAAAAGCACTAATTTCATTCGTGAGGGCTCCACTCTCATGACCAAATCACCTCCCCAAGGTCCCACCTCCACATACCATCACAACTGGGGATTAGGTTTCAACACAGGAATTTGGGTGGTTGGGACACAAGCACACAACCCAGAGCAAATGGAGACTGTAAAGTTATAGACTGGCTGGGATTCTCAAGAGAAGAACTGATGCATAACCACAAGTTCTGGCTGCCTAGGGGTGAAGCCTCTGGCTGACCTTGTTAATTACAGTGTGAAGGCAATGAAGAATGAATGATTTTCAACCACAGCAGAAAGTCTGGTCACCAGGATGTGATGGACCTGAGAGGTGGAGGAGAGGAATCAGTGCCAGGTAAGGGAAGGAGAAAGGAAGCAACTCTGTCCTTGTCCTAGAGATAAACCAAACACCCCTGTGGGCATCTTGAGCTCCGTTTTAAGGCAAGACCTCTCAAATTAAAATGAAGCACGTCATTCCTATATCATTGTTCGCCATCTTGTTACAAGAACAGACACTGGGTATGCACGGGATAAGTGGGACATATTACAGCTGGTCCAAAGTGACTGGACATCAATAGTTTCAGGTGTTATAGAAATGGAGAGACTGGCTCAAGATTATTTTCAAGGGTTCAAAGTTATGCTCTCCCTGGCTTCCTGGATCACCGCTCCTAAATAATAGATTCGCAACAACTCCTTCCTGAGGACAAAAAAAATTTTATTTGAATAGTGGTAATATCTGGCATATGGAGGATAAACAGTAGAGGAAGTCTAGACTCATACAGATGTGTACTTGGGTTCTCCTTTGGAGAAAAGGAAGGCTGGAAATGAGGCTGACCTTGGAAGGTACAACTTCGCTATGAAATAGTGGGGAAATGAAGCACATGGAAGATGCTACTCTTGACTCCCTTTCCTACTTATCTCAAAAGTCTTGCTCTGTGCTTTTCCTTCCCTTATGTCTATATAGATGCACCTTTAAAGCATAGCATACACTTTATGTCTCTAAGCTGAGAAGGAATACAGCTTGTTCTACTGCTTTTCATTATTGTATAAACCAAGGTGTCAACACAGGCCCTTAGTAAGATGTTGGAAAGTCACCACTTTTGGAGAATTTGCACAAAAGGGAAGGTTATTCACTTTCCCTCACCTGGCTAAATTTCTGTGCTACTGGATCCACCTCTTCCAGCTTCTTCCCCTCCCTCCTCACCCCACATTCCAAGCAATGACTGAGGATCTATTCTGTATCAGGCACTGTGATAGACATAATGAGATCCAATCCTGACCCTCCAGGGGCTTCAATGTTGGGAGAAGGGCCTACCACGCAATTGAAAATTTACAAAACATGGTGATTTCTACAGTAGAGATTGGAAAAACAACAACAAATAGTAGGACACCAGAAGAGGGACTTCACATCAGTCAATTATTTTAAACAATGAGCAAGTAGATATTATTTTAGAGATGTTTTGTCCTTGGAAAAAGTATCATTTGTACCTTTGTTAAAAAAGCAAGACAAGTTTTCAGACTCAATGAACTTGAGTTCCTTAGTTATGAACAGATTTCTGGAAAGCTACAACAATTGAGTCTTACCTTATGATAACACCTAAAATATGCAGCACGTTCATCGGAAAATTTCTCCAGTCTTTTTGGACCTTTGCTTGAAGCTTTCTTGAATACTAACCAACATCGCTGATAAATCTGCAAGGAAATACAAAGACAGCACTCAGCATCACTACTGACTCAGATATTACTGGCATTTACATTTAGATATTTTCTTTTTTGATGTTTTCACCTGTAAAATATTCATAAGCCATAAATGTGATGTTGCTTTGGGAAAATAAAATTTTAAAACCCCAAGCTGTTTCCACAATGGGTGTATTATGTCGTTCAGAAAATCACTGGAATCAAAAGAAAATAAGTATTTGGAGGCAAATTTCTTCATACTTTGACAATAACACCAGTAGACTAAACATTGCAGAAAAACTCCCAGAAATAAAAATCCCAAATCAGCGCAAATAATATAAGCATTTACGGCACACACTCTAATTTCAAATGCCATAGGCCTAATTTCAAATCATAGGCCTGATATATGCCAAAGACTTTAAGTCCTAGAAAGAGACAGTCCCTATGTGTCATGTGACATTCCTCATAACTGACGGTCAAGAGTTGGGCCAAACACTAGACTAGCTAATGAATGCTGAAGAACACCAACCAGATTCTCCCTCAGAAAATTCAACCCAGAGACTCAAAGATTATTGCCAGGCTAGGGTGCAGTCCAAGTTAATACTGTAAAAAGTTAATACTGTAAATTAAAGGAAAGAGAATTTCTGTTATTTCTTAAATATCCAAAGATATCAGTAAAATCATTAAAATCAATTCTATTGGCTTTCATCTTGCATAGTCACTGAACTTACCAAGGGTCATAAAAACATGGACAAAAGTGGAAAAGCAATGGAGGGAGGGTAGCCTTTTAAACAAACGGTGCTCAAATAACCGAATATCCATAGGGAATAAACAAACTCCTTAACCCAAAACACTCATACAAAACTTAACAGAGGAGGGAGGGAGACGCAAGAGGGAAGAGATACGGGAACATATGTATATGTATAACTGATTCACTTTGTTATAAAGCAGAAACTAACACACCATTGTAAAGCAATTATACCCCAATAAAGATGTTAAAAAAAAATACAGCTATTCGAAAAATTTAAAAAAAAAACTTAACTGAAAATGGACTTAAATATTTAAAAAACTATTAAAAGTTTAGGGGGAAAAAAGGAGGAAATGTTTGGGATCATGGTCTGAACCAAGAGTTCTTAGACCTCATACCAAAAGCACAATCCATAAAAGAAAACGTTGCCACATTGTACGTCATCAAAATTTAAAACTTTCGCTATGTGAAAAATTCTGCTAAGAGAATGAAAAGACAAGCTACAGACTGGGAAAAAAATATCTGCAAACCACATATCTGACAAAGGATTAGTATCTAGAATATATAGAGTCCTCATATCTCAACAGTAAAGAACCAAACAATCCAATTACAAAATGGAAAAAAGACAGACATTTCACCAAAGAGAATATACAGATGATCAAGAAGCACATGAGAAAATGTTCAACATCATTAAGGCTTCATGGAAATGTAAGTTAAAACCACAGTGAAACATCAGTACACACCTATCAGATTGGCTGAAATAAAAAATAATAATAATGCCACCAAATGTTGACAAGGATGCTGAGAAACTGGATCACATATTATAACACATTGCCGGTGGGAATGTAAAATGGTACAGCTCTGAAACACAGTATGGCAGTTTCTTAAAAAACTAAGCAAGCAACATAGGACTTACAATTGCACCCTTAGGACTCTATGCCAGAGAAATGCAAACTTCCCACACACAAAAAAAATGTGAACACGATGCATAAGCAGCTGGATTTGTAACAGCGCAAAACTGGAAACAACCCGTCTATTCTCCAATGGGTAAATTGTTAAACAATTTGGGGAACATCCATATCATAGAATACCACTCAGCTACAAAAACAGTATGAATGCGTCTTCAGAGAATGATGCTGGGTGGGGGGAAAAAAGCCAAACCCAAAAGGTTACATACTGTACGACTGCATTAATAGCATTCTTGAAATGACAAAATTATAGAAATGGAAATTAGATTAGTGGTTATCAGGGGTTAGGGGTGTGTGAGAAGGGAGCAGAATGGAAGAGGGGCTGTCTATACAGGTAACATGAGGGATCCTGGCAGTGATGAAACTGTCCTGTATCTTGACTCTATGAATGTCATTATCTTGGTTATAATATTGCATTGTTGTTTCAAAGATGTTACCACTAGGGAAACTGGATAAATGGTATAGGATCTTTGTGTAATAGTTCTTACAACCAAATGTGAGTCTACAATTATCTTAAAACAAAATGCTTATAAATTTTTAACAAAAAATGTAAAAGATCTTAAAAATTACAGCCTAATCTAATAACAGTTACCTAATTCTTTTGCTACCAGACCGAAGTCTAATTAACCACTAGACTAGGTAACTTCAGAAAGCCAAGCGGCAAGAGCCATTGGTAAGAATTCAAACCCAAAATCCTTTTCAGGGTGGAGAGTCAGCCATGCAAATTAACATTTTCAGGGCTATGGTTGGCAAATAGAAGACTTACCAACATCTCGCTGATGTCTGAATAACAGATGAGATCACCAGCTCCCTTAAAACCTAACCACCAGAGAGAGGACTGTAATTACATCGGGAAAGACTGTCACCCTGATTGTTCAAATAAAGGATGTGGAAAATAGGTCTCTCACTGTCATTCTATTATTGGCAACCCCTTTCTTCTGGACATGGCCCTGAAAATGTGTTAAAGACAGCACGCTAAGGTATGCAAGAAATATGCCTACTATGGGGAAAAAAATATTTTCACCAAAGGGGATATTTTATATTTCCTAAGTATGCCTCAACTTTTAGACCCAATCTTGAATGACAGTATTTCTACTTAAAAAAAGAAAAGAAAAAACTTATTCATTTTCTTCATTTCTTCTGTCTGAAGTCTATCAAACACAAGCTAAAGGTTCCTCAATTTCAGCAGGCCTAGTGATGTCCATCTTTGATTCATCCATATCACACTTAGGGGATTTTTGTTTTTCTTTTGTTCTATTAAGTATCAATAGTAAGAGCAAAAGTGCAATGTTATAATCAAATAACAGCAAGAGTACTATTGTATAAATTCACACGCAATATTGCTTATAACTATTGGCTGGAAAGTCACCCCGGAACAGATTAAAACATGTTGGTTCATCAGGAGATAAGGAAAACCCCAAAACTTGGTTTATGAAAAGGGGGTTCAGTGATTCTTCGCGTTGGCCCAGCCTCACTCAAGACAACTGTTAATTATGCAGATTCCTAGAGATCAGCCAAGGTCGACTGCATCAGAACCTCTTGGGGTAGGGCCAGATTGGCTCTGTACCTTATTCCCCAGGGATTTTGTGTGTAATATGCAAACCAATGCCATGAATATTCATAAAGACTTTCAGACAACCCAGTGCTTCCCACGTGGGACTGACAACAAAGAGCCCTCCAACAAATGCACCATCCACGATGACGAGGGCCTCTGGGCTGTGTGGTTTCCAACAAGTGATGTGCAGTGGCTTTGGACGTGGAGCAGCGTGAGATGCTGTCCTGAGATACGGTGAAGGTGAAAGTGAAATCTGCTGAACTACAGTAAATTCCCCATTTCACCTGCCCTACACTCTCGGTCCCAAGAACAGAAGAGCCACCAAGTATCAGAGAATTAAAAACTTGTCCTCAATATTTCAAAACTGGTTAGAGGAGATGAAACAGGAGGACTCACTGAACATGGGAACATGTGGAGACAAGTTGGAGTAACACTGACATGGTTAAAAGGACCACAATTGGAGAATAATCTCATTTGCATAATAGCATAGGGCATTTTTTTCTTAAATTAATTCATTCAACCATCTCCTTCATATTTCATATAACACATCCACTGACCATCTATAGTATTTTTGAGCTAACATTTTTCTTTCCATTGACTTGTTTTTAACTAAAAAATGTTTATCCCAACCATGAGAGCAAAGTGCAGTTTCAAACTGGACATGAGGAGTAGGTAATCCTAATGATAACTATACTCTTAGAGAATCTAATGATGGAATAATTTTCATGTTGAAATATCTCACCTCCTCTGCAGCAGGGTTCTGCATTCTCGGCACAGCTGGCATTTTAGACAAGGTAATTTGGGGTAGTGGGAAGGGCAGGGCTGCTCCTCCAACTGGATGCCAGCAGCACACCCCTCCTACCCTGCTGACAACCGGAACTGTCTCCAGACATTGCCAAATGTTCCCTGGGGGGCAAAGTCAGAACCACTGCTACAGGTGAGTGCACACTGAGCCGTGACTGCAGAGTTGAAGAATATGAGGTTATGGGAATATCTTCAAAGTCCTGGCTTTGGACAAGTCAATCCACACAAGCCACTGTCGAAGCTAAAACAGACAAGCACATCACACAGTTCTGACAACCTGAGTGGATGTACATGAGATTTAGCAGTTACATAAAAATCTCCTTCAGTGTGTATTTTCTTGGTGGTGGTGGTGGTTTTACTACACCTAATTTTCAGCCTTAAATTGTCATCAAACCATATATGATTTCTGTTATTTTTTCCATTGTCTTCCCTTTCTTTAAAACTTGAGATCCTTAATAACTAATTAGCTCTGGTTTCAAATCTCTGATATTTTTACTAGCTACTTTTCCTAACAGAGTCTAGTCTGGTAAATTCACCAAGGTTTCCAGGGCCAAGGAAGAGCTGAAACAACTTAGAATTTGCTTGGAGTTTCTAATTTCATTAGCAGTCCATCACAATGTCTTGAACAACAGAGTCACAAACTAAACATCTATAGGACGTATCTTTTTTTTTTTTTTTTTTTCTTTTTCGGCCATGCCACATGGCTTGTGGGATCTCAGTTCCCTGAGCAGGAAACTCCCTATTGGATGCATCTTATGAAGATAACAGAAAGCAAATTTTGGTCACAAAATTTCTGTTAAAAGGAAAATTATATACTGCCTTTACATAAGCTCAAGAAAAGCAGAAAGCTTAAGTAAGATGTGACCATTTAGGACTTCACAGTCTAGTGCAAGTATCAGCAAACTTTTTTCTGTAAAGGGCCAGACAGTAAATATTTTAG